TAAATCCAATGATGTTTGATCTTTTAAGAAGCAGAGGGAGAGGGGCTGAGCGATTAAGAGCACTGGCTGCTCTTCCGGAGGACCCGGGTTCAATTCCCAGAACCCACATGGCAGCTGACTACTGTCTGTACCTCCCGTTCCAGGGGATCTGACCCGCTCACAAAGACCTATGTGCAGGCAAAACGCCAATGCACATAAAATAAAAAATAAATGGAAGAAGCAGAGGGAAAGACAGAACAGAGAAGCTTAGGTAGAGAGAAGACAGAGGGGAGAGATGCAGCCATGAGCCGAGGAGTGCCTGGAACTGGCGAGAATTAGAGGAGACAGGAAGAGCCTTCCCTTGGGCCTTCAGAGGAAGGGCTGTCACATGCTGCCTTAATGTTAGAACGTGTAGCCTCCAGTCTTGAGAGAATAAATTTTCATTGTTTAAAGTCACTAAATCTGTGGCCCAGGTGCTGTGTCAGCCACAGAAGACCAGCAGAGCGGCTACTGTTGACACAGACTGTAATAGCGATCGGTCACGGATGGCATTCCATGCTGGTGTTTCTGTGTCCTCAAGACCGACAAGAACAATTCCCACTCTTGTTTTGCAAGGAGGAAGGTGGAGACTTTAAGAGGTTAAACTTCTTGCCGGTTTGTGGTAGTACACCTCCTTCCTAGCAGCTGAGAATGTGCACCTTTCAAAGCCTCTGCATTTTAACATCCCTATTCAGGAAGTGCACAGATGACCACTTTGTAAAGTCCCAAGGACACCGTTTAATGCACCTGTGTGCAGCCTCCAGATTCATTAGCGTCAGGGAGAACTTCAAAACCTCGGCAGACCAGGGAAGGAATCACCCATAGTAAATTATTCTCCCTTGTAATCAGAAAAGGTGTCCTCAAGGGACTAGGAGGATCTTGAGAATATGGGTGGACCTCTCTGAGTATCGCTCAGGAAACTATTTGGAAACCAGGTCCTATTAAACCGTGGTTTTGGATTACAAAGGTGGTATCAGTTTAAGTGATAAGTGATTCTCTGAAGGGCTGATTAAGTATTTGGGGGCAAGGTCAATACAGAACACATCAAGGTCATGCACACTGCACTGTTTTAGGGACCATGGTGCTGCACCTGTGCCTATCCTTGAGGGACAGACTGTTTTAGCCATCTCATGCTCAAGTGACGAGAGACCAGGAGGAGAGGATGGCAAGTCCTGCTCCTGCCCATACATTCCCTTTTGGATAAGCTCAGAAGTCCAGTATTGCAACTGGCTTTCTTTTCTCCGCATTTTTAAAGATAAAGTACCCCCAGAAGATGACACAGTAAGGCACCCAACACAGAACCTGATGATATCAACGCCAGCATTGGCATCAATATCCAATTACAATGCAATGCCTTCAATCCGGGTCTCCTACGGGAGTGGCTAGCCCAGCACCTCTCGACGCCTGCCAGCCCTGTAGCACACCCGTCTCCGAGCCAGGCACACAGGCTCACCCTTCCACACCTGACCTTACCGCATGCGCCTTCAGAAAGCTCGGGATTTGAGTCCATCACTTACAATGCCGGATGTGGTAGGAAATGTTTAACCTCTGAGCGGAGAGTTCTGTGCTTCTGTCTCTACACCACCCCACAGGATGGCTGAGAGAAAAGAACATGCAGACAGGGAAATCTGAGCTATGCTCAGGCACATTGCAGTGAAGCCAAGGAAAGTTAGACTTTACAGCAAGAGGCTTAGCTTGCTGGTCTGCTAAGGTCTCTGGTTTGGAGGGTTTCGGTGTCGGTATCTTTACACGTCACCCTCATCTCCCGGGAAAGGCGGAAGCCATGCCACCTTCTAAACCAGAATCCGAGACTCCACATGACTCACCCAGAGTCATCTCTGAGTGGGAGGTCTGAGGAAGCAGGCACCATTACCCCAGAACTCTGTAATCTGTCCCATCCCCGGCTGTAAAAGGAACGTAGGAAAGGCCTGAAACCTGGCAGGAGGCATTGATGATGGTGTCCTGACTTGCGTAAACCACGGCAAAATGTAAGCCATGACAAAATGGCTTTCTGTTCCACTTTTAGGCCTGCCCAGATAGGAAGCTGAGATTAACTTCAGCTCTTTTAAAATTAAAACCACAACAAACAGTGGTTGGGTGGCATGGTAACCTTCCCCGTCCATCCGCACCACACAGCACGTCACTGGAGATGTCTACTGGGTAAGGTAAGGAAGGGTGATATTCCATACCCATGATCCTCTGCTGGCAGAGCAGAGGCGTGAGGGTGGCTCCGGCCTGGCAGTCCCCTGCCTCTCCATAGACCTCTGGCAGTCACTGGCATCTCTGTAGAGCTGGAAATTATTCCAGTGTCTGTACAGTGCTGAGGAAACACTGCTCTGAATACTTACGGGACTATTTCCTTAAAATTGTGATGGCCGTCTCAGAGCGCCATGAACCGTGCTGCGTGACTTAGGGAGACATGGGTGCCCTCGGGCTAAACTCGGGCATTGGCTGTCTTTAATGCCAGGAGCAAAGTGAAGGACTGGGCTGTTACATTATCCCTGTTAATGTTTGGATTTCAAGTGTGTGTGGGGTGGTGGTGGCATTTAAGGGTCTACTCAAAACTAGACTTGTATAAAATAGCATTTTCTTGTAGGGAAAAAGAGAGAGGAGAGGAAGGGGAGTGAAGCAGGTGATGGCGTGGTGGTGGAGAGAACACAGGCGAGTGTTTTACACGCTCTATCGTGAACGCAGGTCTGAAACTGAGTCTGCCATGGAGCGAGTAAATCCTTGCATATCAAATACTAAAGGAAAAAAAAAAACCACCCATAATACAGTCCACACATCTTATGAGAGTAGCAGTCAGGCCCTTAGAATACTCTGAGATCAAGTTACGATGCAGAGAGCCACAGGTGCCCACGGCCTGCCGATGACGATGCCTCCCATGCCCAAGTGGGCCATTCCAAAGGCTCAGGACACTCCTGAGCACCCACCACCCTTGGAATTGCTAGGGAATGGCATATAAGACAGTGAAAGCGGGTCAGGTTCACGGAGCCGGCGGAGGCAGGCGACACTTTGAGTTTGTTCCCACGTGACTCGGTTTTGCATTGGCTTAAAAAAACCCTTTTATGTTTGGGTTTGGCTTTCTGCATGCAAAAGGCCAATCTCATTTCCAGCCACAAGTGGTGAGTACAGCCACCAGAGCCCTCACCTCGGTTTTCACACACGGGCTCCCAGAAAAGACATGTGGAGCCAAATGATGGCAAACACAAGACAGAAGAATCTCCTCGAAAATTTCATTCTCCTTGTCCACAAGACCGTCTATCTCGCTAACATGTCACCATAGAACTACACTGTGGGCTCCTGGGAAATTAGTGTGAATGTTTTGAGCAATTAGTCATTAAGCACCAAGAAACAAAGGATTTTGTGGGGCCTACACACCCTAAAGACAGCCTAACTCTTTGTTCCACTCACACAGAGGAGAGGCACACTATGCAGCTCAGGTCAGCCTTAAGCTAGCTAGGTAGGTAAAGCCAGCCTTGAACTCTTGACCCGCTGCCTACACCTCCCAAGTTCTGTGAGAGTCGGCCTGCACCACCATACCTGGGGCATACACTCTATTTTACACTCTGGAAAGTGTGAACTTTTGTGAGCCCTGCATGTGTTTCTTCTGGAAGAGAGCAATTTGCTCTGAAGCCCTATCACATAGAGACTTCCTGTGTGGCCCCTGCGGAGCACAGGGGAAGCTAATCTTCACTTTCTGTGAGAAGCGGTGCCCCACGCCTGCTGCTGGCCCTCGGTCCCTTTCTTCAGATTGGCCTCATCCTTTCCTTTGGGGCGAATGAGCCTGCATCTAGGCAGGAATGTTACTGCAAGCATATCATATCCAGTTGTGTCCCACCTGGCACAGGAAGAGCGCCGTTCAGATATTATAATGGTATCACTGAGCAAACAGCCGCCAGCGTCAGCAGCCCTACCACGTAAATGCACCGTGAGTGCTATCTAACTTGGCACAGAGGGCCTGTGCAGCTATTGCACCTTACAGGTTTGTGCGGTTTCTGCAGCTCACAGCGCTTTTGCTTTTGGAGGTGGTGACTGCCCCACAGAGTGAAAGGAACTCACAGCCCTGATCTGAAAATACTGTGCTGGATACAGTCACACGCATGCATGCCTCCTGTTCTTTATAGTGTGCAAAGAAAAAATATTAGATGCAGACTCCACATGTGATCTGAAGACAACAAGAACTTGAGAACGCCTCACCTTTACCTTTCTAGATGTGTATATGTGTGTATTTATACATACATACACACATACATACAAAAGTGTATGGCTTCAATACTAATGGGCAGGTAAGAAAACAACATAATGTAAACCCTTCATCTGCTTATATACATATACAAAGGCAGCTCTTTGTATCTGCAGGCTCTATAGCTAAAGACTGAACCAATGCTGGGCTGACAATAGGTTTTAAAAGTGTACACATGCCAAAAATAAATTTTTGTTATGAATCCCTAAATGATAGAATTTAGCGGTTGTTAACTGTTGTTTCTATAATATTGTATCCATAGCGTACCAGATGCCAGCAGCAATGAGGAATGAACTTGAGCCTCCAGGAGCATGCACACTGTGCTAGGACCTATGTGTAAGTGCTGGGGCACTGTTGGGCACTGTGGATTTGGGTCCCTGGAACTGATAGTCCACAGGTATATCCACTTACACACACGGATGGATGTTCATAGCCATGTGTATATCCACTAACATACATGATGGATGTCCATAGC